ATAGTCTTTGAAAATTGACAAGAAAAAATAATCTGATCTAGAAGTCAAGTTCACAAAACATGGAGATCAATTAGAACAGGCGTTTTCCTGATGAACTTTCTGTGAAATGCTGCTGATTTCTAGTGGTACATCATGGTCTCAAGACAAGGACAGGGTGCAAAAGCAGGAAGTATTGTTGCGTGCTGAATTTAGAAAGTACCTGGCTTTCCCATTGGCTGGTTATCTGTTTTGCAGCCAGATTCTCAGCTGCAATAAGCTGATGTCACCCTTTTAGACAAATTTACCCTGGCTGAAGATGGGGTTGTGGTTAATGAGCAGCAGTAGTAGCAGAATTTCTGAATTTCTGCAATTATGGAAAATGATTTCCTGTTACAAAGTAGGTGACTCAGTAGTGCAGTAATACTGATATATCACAAGGAGGAAAAAATATTCAAAAGGAAACCTTGAATGAAAAATCACTTATTTGCTGAAATTCTATTATTCAAATTCTTATTGATATTCTGCTGACCTCTAACCCCTACAATAATTCTTTAGTGCAAGAACTGTGTGATACAATTACAAGCAGATCACCAGATTTGGCATAATTCCTTGACTTACACATGTGAAAGAGGTAGGAAAGTGGATAACTATCTGACTAGCTTGCACTCACAAAAGGCAGTATTAAGTTCCCTTAATATCTTCTACTTAGTGCTCTTCCTTAGGTCATAGCCCAAGATACTAATTTGGTATTTTAAATCTTAAAAAGAAATGTCATGCTTTGTGGATTGGTGCATAAAGGAAGAATAGAACTGGTAGGATGACCCAGAAGGTCCTTTCATTCTCGAATTCCTATAAAATCAAAAGTTGCCTCAAATGGGAAAGTGAGAGTATTTTTGCTATGAAGGTACAGGAAAAAGAGGATTTGAGGTTTTTAAATCATCCTTTTCTGAGTGAAAAGTGTAATCAATGCAACGCACAGCTGTAAAATCTGCATTTCTTCATAACATTTTCTTTTGAAGAAAAAGTAGTTTTGAACCTTATACATGATAGTAAACTTCCTAGAAACTAACTATATTTAAAATCTGATGTTAGACTACAAGTTAAGAAGTAGGGAAGGCAGGCTTGACCATTAGACTATAGAAGATATGTGCCAAGTAAGAGGTATTTTTATAGTGAAATCCATCTTGCTTTAAATAAGCTAAGGATGGTCTTTCACTCTGTTTTCCGTTTGCATATTTGAAAAGTGCTGAAATAGAGGAAAGGAAAGATTATAACACCTTCACAAATAATTCAAAAGAATGAAAGGAGTGTAAGACTAATAATTAGAGTGAAATATTCCAAGGTGTTTTATTCAGTTAGCACAAAGGGTAATAAGAGCAGATGCTTTTCCAGTCCTTACAATTCTTTAGCTTGTCTTGATGTACAGTGAAAAGAACAAAAGATAATTAATGGTCTACAAGGAGGAAAGTCTTAGTAATAAGCCGATGTCTCAGCATCCATCTTCACATTGATCAATATTAGAAACTATAACTTCACTGGTTGTTTTATGAGATCTTTAAAAAAGGACACAGAATTATCAAGATCATAAAAAAATATATTTCATTCTTTTGTGGCCTGTAGCCTCATTATTCTGCCTGGAAAAGGACACTGCAATTCTTCTATGTCATAGCCCATTCTGAAGAGGAAAGTATTTGTGTTATTTTTCAACCCATGATCTGTGTAGTTTATCTCAAGTGGAAGGGTCCTTCTCTAAGCCAGCTGGCTCGTAAAACAAATGTGTTCCTGCCCTCCTGGCTGGATGTGTGCTCCTTGCCTTCCCTGGGCACCCTCAGCCCGTTCAGTGTGGTGCCATGTGGATCTGCCAGCCTGTGACCAACCAAACAAGCACATTCTCTGGGCCCCAGCTGGCAAGATTTAAACTAGCTCTAGCCTAAAGCAGCTTGGATGTACTCAGGCACAGCAGTGCTCCTGCTAATGAGCTCTGCCTCTCTCACAGGTGTCACACAGAGCACGGTCCTCCCAGCTGCAGCTACATAGTTCAAGCGCCACCTTTGGAGGTAGGGGAGGTGGTGTGTGATGCTGTGGACACACTCACTGGTTCCTCTGCTGCAGCAGACCATTGTAAGCACAGATCCTGGCAGGCACTTTGTCACTTTTAAATACCTAAGGCATGTGAATGGTTTTACAGGTAGACCGAAAACACTATCTTAGAGAAATTTTTTTAGCAGCTAAAGTTAGGTGATGTGAAACCCATGGCTGACATAGGGAGCCATTTGGAGGGGAGAAAGCACTGAATGTCTCAGGATGAAAAAGGGAGAGGGATGTAAAGGTAGATTTGCTAAGAAGGGCTGGACTAGACATTTTGAACTGACTGAGAGCAGCTCTGCCCTAAGTCAGCACATACTCAGGAGTGCAGGAGATGGAGACCCTGCCTCTGTCTCAAGCAAACACTGTTCTGTAAGTGTGCTAAGCTTAACAGTTTTTTCAGCTTTCTTTGACTTAATCAGATAATCATCTCTCCAGAGCACAGGTTGGCCCTGGCTCCTCTTTCCCAGAACACATTATGGTGAGATGCTGATCTCCTCTAGAGATGCAGGCCCTGTAATAATGTAGATTATACTGTATTTGGAAAGATGTTTCATCCTCCATCACATTGGAAAAGACTCTCCCTGTCCTTCATCTGGCAATGCCAGCTCTGAATACCTGCAAACCTGCCCTGTGCTAGGGCACATGACAGATTCTGGTCTGCAGTCTTGTGCGCCATATAGCTGTTGCCAGCTAAAGGCACTTGTATCCATATCTGACAGATTCTGGGACCCAAGCCTCACAGGTGTGAGATTACAAGGTGTGAGAAAGCGATTTCAGACATTTTTAGAGATTTTGAGAACATAACTCCCCCATCTCTAGTATTCAAGTCCACAGAGGCTGTACACATTACGAGAAAAGGCACATGTAGACTGTGGGAGATGTGCTGTTCAAATGGATGTTGCAGGGAATGGCTTAAGTGCAACGAATACAGATAAAATTTTTTCTTTCCATTTTGAACCAAGAAAGGTAAGATAGTTTCTTCTGTTGTTCCCTTTAGCTAGGAAGAAGAGAGACCGAGCTGGCATCAGGAACTCCAAGGGCAATGTCTCCTTCCTGGCACAGTACTATTCAACACGATTCAGGTCAACACAAATGTCAGGGCCAGGGAAAGGGTAGTCCTTGCTTTCAAGGAGCCCAGCTCTTGATTTGGGTGGAGTTGGCATTGCTTGGCAGGCACATCAGAGAGACAAGTCAAGGTTTAAGTAGAGGTTCACTTACAGCAGTTTCTGCAAATAAGGACTTTTCCAATGCCCAATAAAACCCTCTGTAACCATGGAAAAGAAAGTGTTCTTATCTAAACCCAAAGGAAAAGCTAGAAAAAATCAGTACTTTACAACCTTTTAGCACAGGTGTCATTTTACAGCTTTAGATAATTCAAATCTGTATTGAGCTCCCTGTCTGTTCATATTATTACTGGAAACAAGTTGCCTTACTCATAAGTACTAATGGCACATATATTGTATATCTGTGTGGGGTGTCAAAATATGTAAGAGTAAACTTTTCTTTCTGTAGCGATTTGTTACTTCAGAGTCAGCAATTTTATTTTCTCACATCAGTATTTCTACAAACTCAGTCTCTTCCACAAAACAACCTATGCTAAGGTGCTGACTGATCTCTACTGGCAGAATTTCTTATGTTCTTCTCTATTCTTTTGCATGGTTATTGTCACAAATCACTAGTAAGTAAAACAGATAGACAGAAATATCAGTAAGCACATTTGGAAGAAGTGGGGCTATAAGCTAGATGGTGCCAAGATCCAAGCAAGGCTCAGTAAGTCAGTTAATGCTTAAGTGTATGAGTTCTAACTAATACAATGAAACAGGAACTGCATATCCCATAGAAATCTTTAGGTGGGCAGAGACAGATAAACTTCTGCAGAGCAGGACTGTTGGGTTCCTGTGTAACTGCCAAGAAGGCTATGCCAGGCAACTGCTGCATTCTGGTTAAACTGAGGGAAGCTGGGGATGGGGTGAGCCAGGTGCTGAGTGCCCAGACAGGGAAAATGGTGCTATGGCTGTTTCTCTACCTCAACCCAAAGAAATTCTGCTACTCCTCAAGGTTTTGCTATAAGTCACCACCACTTCATACTGGTATTAATCTATGCCACACAGGTGCCTAAAGTCTTCAGGGGAGAGGGTTTTCTGTATACTGCTGTGTGACTGCAGTGATGGAATCTCTTGCTAGAACCAAAGCAGATCCCCCTAGCTGACACAGTTCAATTTACTTCTCAGTCTCTGTGCTTAAATGAACAATACACAATTTAAATCAGGGTCAAGTTGTTGAAACCTTGATGTCACCTTCATCTCAAGCTCAACATAATACTTCCTGAAGTGTCCCACTGCCTTTCCTTGTAAATCTAAGTCTTTCACTCTGCTAAGTTGTGTTTCTCAGATACTTTGTACAAAGTATATTAAGAAATCAATATACATAATAAAATAGAGCCTAAAAGGCTTCCAGACTGCCATCTAATACTGTGACACCTGAATTGCGTCAGTGCACATGAACAACACCATGCAGCAGCAAACTCATTTCAGGCAGAAAGGACAGAGCCTGCCACCTTCCTACTGGCTTCCCAGGAAATCCATTTCATGTCTCTAGGAGATGGGCCTCACCATGCTTGAACTTAACTTTAAAGATAAACCCTTCAAGTTTTCTCACTGGTTTGATCTTGGGGGCAATTATTGCATCAAGTAGGACCAGAGGCTTTCCCTTGACCCTTGTGATTTTAACCTTCCATTGATCAAGCAGAGGTGGTCCAGGTAATGTGTAAGTCAAATGTGGACAATCCTTAATAAATTTCCTGATTTCTTTCAATTTTGCCAAAAGAACTTGCAGACAAATTAATTCATCTCTTCATTAGAGGAATGGAGAAGGGATCCCAGAGTGCAGAAGACAAGAAAATTAATCTGCATGCATTTCGCTTTCTTTTTCAGGTACCTCCAGCCTCTACCGTTCTTGACGTGAAACACAAATTTCACAAAGCATGTAAGTACTATGGCTAACAGGCTGGAGGCATGGTTAGAGGCCTTTCAGCTTGGAGAAATTGTCAAATTTATTTTTCATGAAATCTCACACAAAAGCTGAGACTGGCTTGACAGCTCCAGTACTAAATAAGAACAGTGTTTGAACTAAGGTTCTACTGTAGCTATCGCAAATGTGAGAGTGGAAGGAGGGGCAGTAGTTTTCTGTCTTCCTTTTAACATTACATAGTGCCAATCCAAGGCCATAACTGTATTTGTTCTTCCAGTGTTATGTTAGATAAACTTCATTAACATTAGACTGCTCCAAGCTGGCCATAAATAGACCATGTAGACCAAAAAACTACTTGGACAAACTTCATAGGTGGGCCTACAAGAATCTTGTGAGGTTCAACAAGTCCAAGTGCAAGATGCTGCTTCTGGGTCAGGGCAATCCCAGAAATGAGTACAGGCTGGGAGAAGAAGTCACCGAGAGCAGCCCTATGGAGAAGAACTTGGGGATTCTCGTGAATGAAAAATTGAAAATGAGCTGGCAATGTGGGTTCGCAGCCCAGAAGGCCAATCATATCCTGTGCTGCATCAAAAGAGGAGTGGCCAACAGGTTGAAGGAGGTGATTCTGCACCTCTAGTCTACCCTCATGAGTTCCCCCCTGGAGTACAAGAAAGACGTGGACCTGTTGGAGCAGGAAATTATCTGAGGGCTGGAGCACCTCTGCTGTGAAGACAGGCTGAGAGAGCTGGGCTTGTTCAGCCTGGAGAAGAGAAGGCTCTGGGAGACCTCACTGCAGCCTTCCAGTACCTAAAGGGGGCTTACAAAGAAGAGGGAGACTGACTTTTTACTTGGGCAGATAGTGACAGGATATGGGGAAAAAATTTTAAACCTAAAGAGTAGGTATTTCAGTTAGAGATATGGAAGAAATTATCTACTGTGAGGATGTCCCATCCCTGGAAGTGTTCAAGGCCAGGTTGGATGGGACCCTGAGCATCCTGATCTAATGGGTGGCATCTTAGATGCTGAGCTTTCATTATTTTGACAAAAAAGTGTTTATTTAACTAAAGGCTAGATGCCTTTTGCAAAAAAAAAAAAAAGTTGTCAGTCACTAAGCTCTTGAATTCAGAGTAGCATAAGTAGAAGAAGAATTATGCTTCTACTCTGTCCTTAGAATTTTATAAAACACTAAAGCTCGAGGCTTCTGTGGTCACACACAGATTCAATCGAAGAAGCAAAATGCTGTTGACCTGACTGTTTTAAAATTACTAATTTTCACTGCCTGTAAGGACTTGTAAAACACAAAATGGCAAAAGTTCAAAAACTGCACTGCTGAGTACAAAAAGATGGAGTGCATGTGTTTTAATATTTCAATAAGGGTATGTCCTCCCATCAGTTTGTGAAATGCAGTGCATTTCTGCCTAGAATCTCTTAAATCAACTGCAACTGGATTTATATTGATGCAGTTTAAATCAGTTGAAGAACACTGGCATAGAGGTTTATGCCAATACAACTGCAATGAGATTTTTAATGGATTTGGGCTAAAATGGTGCAAGTCTGTGTATAAGCCATTTTAATGGTGCCTATTTTGATATTAGGAGGTATCTTACTTCTCAAGTACCCCCAGTGATGTCAGTGGAGCTACTGTCAAGGAAGACAGCATACAACAAAGCATAGTACACACTGTGAACCAAACCCTCTGACAGTACAGCATTTTACAGCACATGGAAAGGCTGGCATGTGCCTTCAGTGCTTTTTCAGGCCTCAGTTTTTCATGTCAATTCCTCCCATTCCCAGGAGTACACCACAGCAGTGTCCTGTGTCCTTTCTTCTTATTTCAGCTCATTGCTTTGATCTCTCTTTTCCAGTTCATGACTTACGGATGTTGTTGTCTCATGAGGTTTCCCCCCCTCCCTCCCCCTCCCTTCCTCCTTTCCCAATTGCAAAGACCAAATCTTCACTTTTTTCTCTTTGCATAGTCTGGAGGATGACAGCTAATAGCATATAGTTCTTTTAGGCAAGAGCTGAGAAGGGACTGAAGCTGATCTGTGGATGCCTTTGGTTACCATGCTATTTTGTACTAGCTCATGCATTCATTTCTGTCATTTTGTGTGTGCCAGACTCACATGTTCCCCTATAATCCCTCGTTAAAACACACTCCTACGCACACCCCATTACAGTCTCCCTGTCTTCATACGTTCTCCTTTGATCACCCATGCAATTAAGCTTTCTCCTCAGCTGGTGTCTTGTCAGCCCTTCAATGAGAGGAACCCCTGTGCAGCAATTTCACAAGCATTCTCTCTGTCACAGAGCAGGTTTTGCTGCCTGATTCAAGAAAGGAGGATAAAGACCACATTATGAATTGCAGCACAGGAGGCTATTAAACATTAAAATAAAAGAAATGAGATGCAAGTGACACGTGCCATCTTACTGCTAAGTAATATCTAAGTCAGTCAAATATTAGTTTGGATCTGTGTTTATGCAAAAGGCAGAATATGGATTTAGAAATCCGGGAACAAATACTGAAACACTTCTCAGCCCTCACTTCAGCAAAACTGTCTCTACTGAAGCAAAGCCTCACCCTGTGCTTTCTGTAGCATTGAGTTCAGGGGGGCAATCCCAGTTTTATCACTGTAGATTGAGGGATCTTAGTGAAGAATAACCATTTAAGATGGCCATTTCCACAGGAATTCAAAGGCTTTGCCCAGACTGAAGATGGCTGCTTTGAAACATCCCCTGGTTGCCGTAGCTGCTGCCCCTGGGAGGGACTGGCAGCACCAACCAGGGTCAGCCCAGAACAGTAGTTTCCCTGTTGCAGCCCTCCAGCCATCAGCTCTACAGGGGCTTTCTGTAACAGATGTTAGAGCAAGGCTGTCACACTTAATAGCAAACATCACACCTGCCCACCATGAATCTGTCTAATCCTTTTGAAACATATCTGCAGTTTTGACCTGAGCAAAATCCTCTGGGAGGGAGTTCCACAGTATAAGTATGTTGTGGACAAATGTCTACACTTCTACAACTTGATATTTTCTGCCTGAAATTGAGTGGCAGCTGAGTGTCTGGGTGTCACTGGCCATGGTGCTGTATTGTCTAAGGCATGGTCAAAGAAGCCTCAATCAAATTGATGCTGTGCTGTAGGTGACTTTTCTAGTATTTTCCTCATTCCTTTGTCTAGCTGGCAGAGGTGGAACTAAGCCAAAAACTAAGTGTATAAGAAGGAAGTCTCTTGACCCATTTTCTCAGTTGCTTATAATGAGTTAGGTACCTGGCATTTTCTTTATCTATACAGATTATATTATCAGTGGAGAAAGAAATATCTTGTAGGCTAAACTTCCTGGGCTCTTGTCCTTGGCAATAACTTTTCACCTTTAATTTATTTTTATCTTTGCAAAATGTATTGGACTGCTGTGGGAGGAAATCTTACAGATAGAAAATGAAAAACTGTAATAATAATGCTAATTCATGTATCACATAACTAAAATAAAATACCTCTAGAACAGGTAATATAGCAGAGTCAGTGATCATTAAATATTTTCAAGGTTACTGCATGGAACTTGCTGAAAAATCTCTTGAAAGAAGAGGAAAAGTGGAAAGGAGAGGGGGAAATAAGACCTCAGCAGTACTGTAACAAACTTATGGAGGCAACCTCTTGCACAAGGGGGACAGCACAACTAGAACTGTTCTGAAGCCAGAAGAGTGAGCGTAGGGAACCAAAAATTGCCTTCTAGGCAGAAGGAGCAGGTAGGGAATGGAGGAAGCCTGGTGATGAGTGGAAGGAAAAAGGGAAGTTGGAGAGAACTGAAAACATAATGAGTATCCTAGCCTACAGAGGGGAATGAGGTGCTCAAGGAATAAGGAACAACTCAAACTGCCAGCTGTCCCAATAAAATACTAACTCCTAACCATTTAGCTCCAAAATTGCAGGCACTTCCATCTAAGATAACAGATGCTGCACAGAGCATTTAAAATAAGCAATATGAATGAAAAGTAAATCACTAAGACAGAAATTGTCAGTAGATGGCACTCAAGAATAAACAGCATAATTTCTGGACAATATGAAATTTTAGAATCCTGCTACACCATCTTACAACTGCTCCTTATAAGTATTTCTACAGTGATCCTAGGAGCTATGTTCCTGAGAAAGCTGCTGAGATATTTTCTGTTGTTTTTCTCTAGAGAGAGGACAAGAAAAAAAACCCGCAATTCCTTCATGATGGGATGAGTCTCTCTTTTAGCCTCCTCCTTATAGGCTGCAGGGCAGTGTGTTAGGATTTATCTGCCAGGTTTTACCTATTGCTCTCATCCTGCATGTTCCCCAGAAGCCGTGGGAGAACAGGCAGCCCTGAAAATTTCTTCACTGCAGACATCCTGGTCAGAGCATTTCCCATCTGACTGCCTGCACAAAAGCAGCATCAGAGGGTCCTGTGCAGGCCCTTCCAACATGCCATTTCACTAAGTGCATCAAATACTATCAGTGACTTCCAAATGCTCGAATAAGATGTTTATTGCCTAATGTGAGGAGATACCATATCAGAGGGCAAACATGAGCAGAAGTACCACATCATACAATTCTTCTCCATCTGTATGGGAGGCCTGTGCACATTCTCCCTCCTTCCCTTTTCAAAATGATCTGTTACTGCCTTGAGCTTGCTTCTGCCCCCAGTAGCCTGTCAGCAGTGCTCAGCTCAGGCAGTGCTCAACAGCTGGAGGGAGAGTTAAAACCAACAGGTTCTTGTTCACCCAAAACCCTGAAGCAGATCTTCAAAACACAGAACAAGAGGAGTCAAGCTGACATGGGGAAGAGGAAGGAGAAGAATCTCTCATTGCTTAGATATCACAAGGCAAGCCTTGTGAGTGGAGCTTTAGGCAAATGAGGTACTAAAATTATTTAGTGGAGGAGGTCCTCTTTCTTTTCTCCTTTTCAGAAAGTCTGCTAAGGGTTTTCATACTCTGAATCTGCAACTTTCCTGCTTGTAATGACATCTGAGAGCTAGTAGCATAAGTAAGGAATAACT